ACGTTGTTGATTATTTAAAGTCTGTAGCCTTGACCCATATTTTTGATTCAAGTATTCATACATTTTGCTGGAACGTGACACTCCTGGTGGACTTGCCGGTTCCATCTCCAAATCTATTCTTTTTAGTTAGTAACACTCCTCAGGCTGTTGCATTCGTCTAAATACAACGTTGTGTTAGCACTTCACTCCTTGCCTATGATTGTATGAATGCTTGTTTTGTAAAAGTATCCATTCTTTTCACCTAAACCCATTAACGATTTCCTTGCAGTTGTGACCACTGTGTGATGAATCCCTCGATGTACTCTTCTCTGATTCTGGCAAAAATGTTGTGGAGGCTTTTATTTTGTGGGAAAGTACATGATAAAGAGAATCGTAGTACGATATCGCAAGAAACTGACGGCTGATTCTCGTGTATTGCAGCCGTTTGGCCTTAATTAGACGTTCAGATTGACACAATCCATGAGGCATCCTCCCTCGTTTGGGTGAAAATGGGCTGAGATTTTACTCGTCACGACACATGACGAACGTCATCCGAGCTAGGACTCATTCTTGCAAAAGTCTCAAGTATAACTAAGTCAAGAAAACTAACCGGCTCTTTCCTACTTGATACATATACTCAATGAGAAAAATGTTTCTTCATTTATAGATATATAGAGTCTTATTGACTTAGTGTTAACATTAGAGTTTTGCAAGAATGAGTCCCAGCTATGATGCTGTTCGTCATGTGACATGACGAACGAAAACTCAGTCCATTTTCTCCCGGAATGAGTAAGGATATCTCCTGGACTACCTCAACTTGAAAACAAACAGCTGTGGTACAACGAAAATCAGCCGGTGTCCTCTAGCGAGATCGACCTACGATCGGCTAACAATATATTCCACTTTTATAGGAAATATAATGTTACCTCAGAAGATTTATCGAAATCCTCTTTTTCTTCGTATACACGGTAAATATGGACCGTCCCACTGTTAAGTAAATCCTCCTTACATGAAACAACTTTAGAAAATTTCACCAAGTAACCCTTTTCTTCACTTAATAATAACATTTTATTTAAGCTCAAAAATTATAAGGACATTTTCTTTTACCATCTTAAACGAAACAGAGTGAATACAACCCTTATATAACAGTACTCACTATCTAATGGAGATCATAGACTCGATTAGTTCACGCTTAAGAATTTGATCTATTTGATAGCTGAGTCAGCATGTCATATTCAAACTTAGGTTTTTAAACGTAGATACGAAGACGAGTTGTTGTGGCCTCTATTTTGATCGCAGTCTCCTTTCAATATATAGAAATCATTTGAGCTTGTTTTCGCAAATTGATCATGTTGGCAGAAAAACCCAGAGGAGCGAACTTTGTCCGGAGTCCATACTATGCATGATAATTTCTAAAGTAGAACCGTGGACGGTACATTCCGGCATCGTAGTCTGCAGCGTCAAACCATGAAAGATTTAGGCTTTATGATGATTGTTCGTGAATAATGGTTTCTGGCTCTGACGATGTCCATCACGTGACGTTATTATAAATACTTATATTGTAATAATGAGAGTTAGCAACAGATATTTATCAACTTTCCCCTCTCACAAATAAGAAGAATGTAAACTGTCTTGAATGCTTTTAATAAGATCACCTAACTTCAGGAAATCTAAAACATGAATTTGCTGAAGCAAAAATGTTGCACATTGTTTTCAATTATGTCGATAATGTAGAACAATATCCACTTAAATACTAAGGCCAGGATGTTATGGCCTCTATTTTTGTCGCAGTTTAGAAGGTATCTGTCCAAGTTGCGAAAACGAGGTCAGACCACCCTTAGTTTCCGCTTTTGTTGGATAAAAAGTGATATCGGTATGTTTTTATGCCTGGCCAGAGTCTCCATTTTATCCATATTATTTGGTGTCCTGAACTAGTTTATTATTAATTAAATTGATTACTTTGTTCTCTTTTTCCACAGACTATACTATGCCCCTGGAAAGTTGGAGCGCATTCCCGGGAGGAGGCATCACTACCGACTGCTCTATCCTGCTTCAAACTTGGTCCAAAACAGCCTAAGCCGAACTCAAGCGAACAATCACATTCATGCACAACCACAAACACACACCCTTCACAGCCAGCAGCAAAAACATTGTCACAACCCATCACAGCTTTCTCAAAGTATATCCAACAGTTTTACAGGCTCAAATTCCGCCTCGTCTCAGCACAGCTCTGCTTCATTTGCCTTAAATTCATCAACAGTTCCAAACACTCCCCCTTTGCTTAAATCCCCTCCTCCTTCATCCTTTTCCTCCTCCTCTCCCATCTCTTCTGTCCTTTCATGCTCTTCTTTCTGTTCTCCTTCTTCCTTCCATTCTTCCCCTTCTCCTTCTTCCCCGTTCTCCTCCACTCTATCCCCTTATTTCCCTTCAATGTCCTTCTCTACTGCAGCATCGACCTCCACATTCTCATCTCCATCTTCAAATGAGCTTGATTTATCATTTTTATCCAATAAGTCCGATGCCATTCGACCATCAGCTCAAGCAGAAGATGATATTGACTGTACTCGGCAGAACATTTGCAAATCTGGCCGCTTTGACTCATTAAAGCCTAGGCAACAAAGACAACAAAAACACCAACAACTAACTTCATCAAATAACACAAACTTGCCCCAATCCTTAGGCTTGCCAGTCAGTCAAAATCTGTCTCGATTTGAACATTCTGATAGCTCTGAGAGGACACAGCCTTCCTCCTTCACCTTACGGGATCCTGCTTCACTTAATCTAACACAATCTGGGCGAAATTGCGAAGAGATTAGAGTGGGGCAGTTGGCTGAGTTCGACCACAAACAGGATTCTTTCTACTGTGAGGACGACTCTCCACTTATACTCTCCTCATCTCGAGGGCATACCTTGTCTCCAAAATCTCACCCATATACAAGACAGCCTCATCCTCTGCTCCGATCTCGCCATCAAACGCTCCAAGCGAAGATTGACCATCCAGTTTGCTCGCAGCCTCTTTCTATGGGGGAGCAGCTGCAGTCGAAACCTTCCTACACTGGTCTCGTGCAGTCTTCCATAGTTGAAACCAATGTGTCTAAAATATTTTCACCCGCCTGTACCAAGCATCCTAGAACAAACTCTTCATATGATATGCATCGTGGTATAACGCAAATTCCACAGAGTTCAGCACATGCATACACCTCAAAAATTGTCTCCACCTGCCGATCGACAAATTCTACATTTGAAGCAGTAAAGTTAG